AAATAACAAGTGTAATATCCACTAAAGCAAAGCTTAAGTATATAACACCAACATAAGGCATATATCAATTAGATAAAAAGTCGATAAATAGAGTAATCAGATAAATTCTATAAATTGAATGGGGCGCTACAGTCTTCCCTCCTTAAAAGATTTCCGTCCTCGGAAATTCTACTAGAACAGACAACTCACAGAAGAACTCATACCCAAAGAAATTACAAACTCCGAGGTTCGGATACTACTCCATTAGCTCATCCTCGCTCTCTCGAGTCGCATCATCTCGTCAAAACGGCGCCTCTTAGATTTTGACGAGTACCATAACTGGCTCCTCGACTGTTGGACCCTCCGTCCCAACACGGAAACCGGTACCTCATCATAGGTTAGGTTCTGCCCATAACGCAGCTCGTCAAAGTTACTCGGTGCCCTGGCAACATGCACACAAATCCTCCACTCGAGGTATACAACGTACTGTGCAGTCCCGAAGGCTCAGGAATTAAGGCCAACCGTTAGGCTAGGTCTTCGACTCGATCGAGACTCAAAAGCGTTATCATCTCTCGACGGCGACTCTCTTCTCATCCCAAAACCAAGGCGTCTCACACCTCTTACCATACCAGTACCTCATTTCGTATTTGTCAATACACAAGACTCCAACTGGCCTTGCGGTGTATTGACAGCATGCTACGATCATCCCACACCAAGGGTCTATTTGTAGCATCAAGCTTCAGTATCGTTCCCCGGTCACGCTAAAGACTCGCCCACGACCTCATCATAAACCGTGCATCTCCGACATAGCGGTCGACACGGTACCCCATACTATTGGTCTAACTACCTTATACTATCACCTTTCGTAGTTTCAAACCCTACGAAGCATACATAGTCTCCTGTCGAAACTCAAGACTCCGCCCGACAACAAAGCGAAACTTCTATCTTGCCAAGTCGAGAAAATACTCATACAACATAGGAACTAATCGACAAGCCTCCCTTAATCGAAATCATTGATTACGGAAATCATACAATGGTTCAGTGAAAAATGGAGCTGTCGGTTTAAAGTTCAAAAGAAAAGGTATCAAAGGTCAACATATCATTTGACAAAGAACACTGATTGAACGTCCCAATAGGGGTCGGGGTCTAATGCACTGTCACCCGAGAGATGGCACACATGCTGGTGCTGCATATGTGGGGATCTAGGACGCGTGCATGTACCTACCAGAGACCAGCTGCAAGGTCAAGGTTTGGCCGTACACACTAGCCTAGGGAGTTTGTGGATTCGGTGATGGCGGCTGCAAGACTCGTGGGAGTCAATGGTCGCCCTGTAGTTGGCCTCACATCTCTCAGCACGGGCATGTGTGCGCGACCATCACTTCGCGTGGCTACACCCAGCCAGGGTCAATGTTCGGTTTTGAGGTACAGACCAAAAACTTTAAATTCAGGGTTCATAGTTTCCAAGTTATCAAGAAAGGAAAAAGGGTTTTCACACAACTTTTAAATGACAAAGATTTTGGGTCTAACCAATAGAATTTCTCATGGCATTTAGGTGATAAGTAATCTCGAATGTTTCAAGGGTTTCGGATCATCATAAGGCATCACACCGAGTTCCAAGTCCACCACCTCTTTCTTAATATAAACAATTCCAGGAGACTATCTAACGGTAGGGATAGGGTGCATGTTTGCTTTCCAGGATAAGGCAGGATATCCCGCCTTATCCTGCCTTAATCCCATGTTTGGTTGCTAGAATCCGGCCCTGGATAGATTGCTTGGCCTGGGAATAAAATTGTTTTTATCCCATGACAGTGGGATAAATCCATCCTCTCTTCTTGGTGGGATTAGGATAATCCCACAGGTTTGGATTATTTTTCTCCAATCCCATCCTACCAAACAAACATGGGCTAAGAGATTGAATATCCACTCCTCGGCCAAGAATAATCCCAACCCGGCAGTCATTACCGAAAACAATGGGACGGTTAACTCGCTCGACTCTCCTGACCAATAGTGTCGACCGTCATGACAACTTTTACTCAGGTATCTAATCGTGCCAGTAGTCCTGAACGAGTTCAATTCCTACATTGATAAGAATCTCACGCTTCAGAATCTCATCATGAAGCCTCCTTTGAACTGTTGCACCTTTCTTTATCTTCCGTTGGCGGTAGCTAGGTCTCGAATCAATCTTCGAGAATACACCAGTTACCATCGTTGGTAGAACTGGTCCTAACTCCTTGGTAGTGGTTGATCACCCTTCGTCACTAGTCGGTTGATTCGTCTCGTTGCATCTCGAAAATAGACAAGGATAACATCGATAAAGAAATTGACAAATTGATCCGG